CCATTGTCAATGTTTCAAATTCTGATAGTTTGTTCCGAACAAAAAAAACCAGTAACAAACGCTCTTTGATTGTGCAGCCTTTCGGGAGTAGATACCAGGTGTTTGGGGATAATTTTCTAATAATATTTTCCACTCAGATCTGCCCATTCAGATTCATTTTTGAGGTTCAGAAATCAAATAAGCTCTCCGATTGTTTGCTCTAGCGTAAAGAGAATTTGGAAGCCTCTACGCTGATTTGCTGAGAAGAAAGTTCACAAAATGTGAATCCTATGGAGGTTTTTCAGATCGTTACACATAGAGGTACAAAATCGGAGTAAACGACCTTTTAATAAGATTGTGCTTTCCTGACAACTGTTCCACAAGCGAATCTATTATATGCAAATAATAGACAAAATACAATAACCTGGGTTATCTCAAGCTACCATCCAAATAAAATGTCATAAAATGATCCTCATTTTGCTATTTCAACATCATAGACAAAATAAACAACAAGATCCACAACAACTAGCGTGTGCCATTACACACACTAAAACAATCCACATGACAGAAAGACGTCTCGCTAGCATGGCAGGTAATGAGTATACAGACAGGAACATACTTCGTGCATAATACATCAGTAATGACAGGCTTTTTTATTTCATGGTTTACCTTTTAAAAACAAATTGTGTAGGTAAGTGGGAAATATATAAAATTCTGATTTGAATATGTTGTTACATGTGCAGTGTGCATAAACAGATCATCATCAATCAACCAGATTAAGATATTATATGCACACTTTTTCTAGAGGTAAAAAAGTTTGCAGTTGATCGAATAAATATAAAAATTTTTTTTAGATTCCCCCCCCTCCACTTTTTATGTTTTTAGGGTAGGTAATCTGAAAACCAATTTCTGAAAATAGCATCGCGTTATGAATACACTGTATTATACATATGTACATAAATAAGCAGCCTAGACACGGCTTGACCTTCACATTGGTTTAAAGACTGTCAATAGTCTACACTGGAACAATCTCAGATTCAAAAGGAAACACTGTCAATTTAACAACTGATTTTGTTCATCACACTTAATTTTGGGAATTAAAAAACAATTCAAAATAGCATGATGCTATTTCTGATTCTAAACAGACAGTGTTCCATCAAAATGGACAGTTTCTGATCGGACGTCATATTCACAGGATAGGGGGCCATGTCAAAATTGACATTGAAAATGACATTTTCTGATTGATGGTCATCTCAAGAAAGGAATCTCATGCGGTGTCAGTACTAATTAAACTGATAAAAAACCATGTTAAAACTAATCACCAGCGTACACAGGGATGGAAATTAACTCAAAACCCAAACCAGCCCACAGGGCTATTGTGACTTCTTTCTTCTAGCCCTGCGAAATGTTACTAGTCCTTATAGAATAAGAACACTTTCAACTTTCAATCTTCATGTGCCATAAAATACATTCAAATATGAACAAGCGGTCAGAATAAGTCACTGCGCTGACTTTGTGCTGCACATTTCACGACAAGACGCATTAACTACATCTGTCAAAAAGCCCTATGGGCTAGTACAACAATAATTTTATTAGCCCAAGGTAATTTTTACAAGGCTCAGGCCTATAGGCAAGCATTAATTTCCATCCCTGCAATACACTATTGTACTGATAGCTTTATTTACTGTGTATGGTGTATGAGATGGCCCACAAATTATCAACATTTGGCTCAATAATACAAAGTCCTTTTTCAGTCAAGTACTGGTATTGTCTCAAAATAATACCAATGTATGACATCAAATAGTGATCATGAAAAAACTCATCAAACTTTGTTTTTCTTTCTTCATGTTCTAATGTCAAAAATGATACATAGTTTACACAATATTACCATAGTAAACTGTGATATGTATCATGAATAAAATATCACGATATATATTACAAGAATATTAAAATTATTCTATACTTTAACAAGCAGACTACAGTGTACATTATTTGGCACAATGAAGAGACAAGCTATTTCACAAGCACCTCCTGGCTCACAAACATCAAATGGCATCCTGATCCAGAGAACTACACTTCCAAAACACTCAAACACACAAGTAACTCTTTTTCAAGCTTTAATGTGTAATTGTGTTTAATCAGGTTCAAGTTAAATAGGCCCGAGTGAGTGAGTGAGTTGGATTTTAACGCCGCTTTTAACATTATTCCAGTTATATCACGGCGTGTCAGCTTAATGTGGGAGGAAAGCCCGAAGTGATGCAGGTCTCAGACGTTTACCACTTCGGTGAAACCCACGAGCACGGGTATGGTGCGGACAAACCTAGAAACATAAGCAGGGCGAACAGGGATTCGAACCCACAATCATAGGTTTCTGGCGTGCCCAACTCTGCACAGCGAATCGCGGCGCCTTAGACGACTTGGCCACCCATGCCCCCTTAATAGACCCGATTTTGAGCTTTCAACAAATTCAAACTCTGATCAGTAGCTTTGTGTTCTACATCAGAATGATCGGGTTGAGAGGGAAAGCAAATGTTCCGTTTGACTTCAACCCCGATATATATTCTTATCGTAAACAACAAACCAGTTGCACCCTGGGTACACTCGTTTGTTGTTTACAATTAGAATAGTATTCATCTGTGAAGACATAAGGTCAAAATTATTAACTTTCAGCTATCAAGGACGGATATATTACTCAAAAGAAGTTAAAGACATGACTAATTAACTAGAGTCACATGAGTGAGTGAGTATGGTTTTACGCCGCTTTTAGCAATATTCCAGGAATATCACGGAGGGGGACACCAGAAATGGGCTTCACACATTGTATAGAGTCACATGAAAAAAAAGATGTTCTTTTACTTCTTTTGAGTAGTATATCATGACAGTCACTTTTGTGTTTGAGTATATTGCAGATGTTGGACTTTCTGTTGACTAAATACTCTGCTTCAATCAATCCAAATTGTATACTACTCAATATTAGTTAAGGATACTGCCATATTTTGTGTTATGAAACCCAAGAGAATAATCGACAGACATGTGTCCTCATGTATGTTGAAGCTGAAATGAAGATCATATCACGTATACGTGCCAGTTCCAAGGCAATATTGAATGCTATTTGTATGACAACATCTCCAAGAATCCCGTCATCTCAGGCCCCAGCTGACTTTCAGAATATCCCAACAAAAGTTGACTAGTATGTACAATTTGTTGATTGTCCAAATCAAGACGTACATGGTACATGTTTTACACAACAACCCTGCATGGACTTTCCAGGAATAGACGTACAGTTTCTCATCTCAACCTGGCAAAATGTCCAACATTCATACAGACAGGAAGTGAAGAAATTGGGGAAAAAAAGACAAGCTGAAAAGTGAAAAACTATGAAATATGTAAAAGTCTCATAAAACACTGAACAAAATATCTTGTGAAGTATTCCTGAAGAAACGGATTTCAAGTTTAGAAAATATCATATAGTATAATACATACAATTAAAAACGGCCAGTAAACAGGTGTTCAATTTGTACCCAAGACATTACATGGTATATTTAACACAGGGTTAGCTACTGCTGATAAAAACTTTCCTCGAAAACACTTCCCAGCCAACAAGGTGCTGCTGACGAGCCATGACTTTAATCTCATCGTCTCATGAATGCCGGCAATGTAATCACTTACTTCATCAATGACGACGCCATATCGGCCAGCTACAGACTGATGACATCACATCATCACTATGGATATATCTGGGACTGCCAATAACAATAACAATGCAGGTTTCAAAATGGTATGTCTGTACAAGGATGTGCACACACGCATCAACTGGGACGCTGACCTGACCGATGAAATCATAACTCAATCACTGCAAGTTCTGGAAACCACAGGGTCAACCAAAAGATCGACTCCAAAATATTTATGTTAATGATAAATATATATATAGGTGAATTGTTTGATAGGCATTACTTACAAGTTGACGGATGAGAAAGTAGACACATTTTATGGATAACAACTTCTTTACAGTTATCAAAGAAGTTATTATCCATAAATCGTGTCTTCTTTGATATATAGAGTTCATTTCGTTTCAGTACGTGTAGGCCGCAAGCATTTGTGTACAAATATATGGCAATGTCGAAACGAATGTGCACTACATATGTGTAAGCAATAACATATAGATATTACATATAGCACATATTGAAAATTGTATTTCAGATTTCTTTATAAACTAAGGATATAAGATCTTTCCACATTTGCATCGTACAAAAACTTTGCTGTGTTACTAAATATATTTGGACTTGGAGATGATAGCTGTAAGTCAAACTTTTGTAAATTTGGGTATATATAATGTTTTGATTTGAGATACATTTGTCTAAGGTTAGTAAGGGCTGGACATATCAGTAAACGTGGTATTCATTTTCAATATCATCAGAGTAACATACCTTATAGTTTTTAAATCCCCGCAGGATATTAATCTGCCGTCCTCGCTCAATTTCTAAATTGTGACAGCTCAGTTGAAATATAGATATACATACTACTCAAAAGAAGCTACAGACATCATGATTCTTTCAAGTTACTACAGCTAATCTTTCATGGCATGCCACATTAACTATAGTAATGGGAAAGAATAAAGACATTCTTAACTTCACTGAGTAGTATACCTACTGAAGGTATCCACATAGCTTTCATGTACTTATTGTCTCAATAGTGATGTTATCAAACATGTTTTTTCCAGTAAAATTAAACATAAAACAATGACCATGTATCTGGCTATATGATGTTAAAAATAAAGATCCTTTTTAACAAAGCTTTGTAAAATAACAAAAATGCAAACAATAGTTTACCCAAGTATTTGATTAATTACAATATACACATCAGCTGTCTCCGGCGACTGTCAGCTTTGCTTATCTTCAACATGCTGAAGAAAACACTTTTTCTTTTTCTTCTTCCAGTGTGGATAAACATACTATTAACTGTACAACTATTAACATTAACTAATCCATGTTAATGGAACAGATTTCAAGAAAAGTTGCACTGTGTATATAAATCTAGTTATTTTTGTTTTGTCTTTCTTAACCATAAACTGAATATCATGAACTTAATGCCAGCAGGAAATTATTGCGTAAAAAATAAAATATACCTTGCTTGCATTAATAAAGTGACACTGATTTGGGGATTTCTTGCTTTTGATTTCATGGAAGATAAATCATATGTCAAGCAGTTGAAGTAAAGTTTGTGAAGATAGCAAATGATATTATTCAATCGAATATCTATCAGTCAACAGTAAATCCTTGTCTAAAGTCTCAGTGTTATTGTTTGCAGATTAGTTTTTGAAGTTCAAAGGCAGGATTTTCAAGATGAATTTAGGTCAGGGGTCGACACCCCCATTAATTTGGTGACACATAAATTTCCTGTTTTATGGTATATGTCTACATCAGTATATTGATTGTCAAAAATATTCAAAAAATCATTTCATTTTGTTAAGAAATACAAAATTCTGAATAACATTTCATCAACACATTCAAATACCGTATTCGACCCAATAAGCGCCAAGGGCGCTTAAAATAAAGACAGAAGGGGTGGGCGCTTATTGGGACCAATTCAGAGTCAAAGTGGCGTAAATTCATCAGTAAACCTATCGATATTCTTCTGTTGCTGGGGGGCTAGAGATAAACTGTTACTTACGTTTTACTGGTGAACATCTCCTCATTAACCAACTACAAAAGATTCTTGACCGTATGTAAAAAACAGGTGAGTAAACCTTACTTGGGCATCCGGGAAAAGGTTGGGAGGGGGGCGCTTATTGGGACATGGGCGCTTATTGGGTCGAATACAGTAGACTGTTTGTGTTGGATCACTTTCCACATTGCAGTCTGTCAGACTGAAGGACTGAGCTATTCTCTGAACATGTCCGCATCATTCTTATTGCCACGATGCAACAACAAAAGATACAAGCATACAGTAGAAGCACACTACATAACGGTATCATGAAAATAAAGCGTTAAAAATCTGTCGTTACGTACAAAAGTTCAGAAACCTGTTTAGCGTAACTTACAAAAGGTTTGTTTGGTATTTGATGGGATGCAAGTCTGACCATGAGAAGTATCAAGTTATTATGTGTAATATGTATCATGTATCATGTACCTTGTATGATACAGTGACATCTTGTACCACCAGCACAATATAAGTGCACAGCCCTATTCAAAGTAATACTGTATGCTCTCTATGCATACTTCTCAACCAATGCTGTTAGTTGACTCAGCCAAAGTTATTGAACTTTGATTAAAAAAATATTATTTTCTTTTTCACATAACTGCTATGTTCATATATTTCATCAGATTCCTTTCTCCTCTTCACATGTCTGTAGGACTGGGCACGAATCCAAACATTCTCACAGTTCGATGTACCAAGCATCACATCAACATGACTAATGACTAGCCTTCACTGACCAGAATCAAGGCCTGACTTTGGCGGCCATTGTTTAGCTTTGTGATAATCTCCCACAACAGCTCATCACATCATGTTCGGACTAGAGTTACTTTGTACCAAGCAGCTGTAACCATGGCAACACATTCCTAGACCTAGTTGCTGTAGAGGTTCAAATAGGTTTATATGTCCTCGTTCACAAAGAGATTTATTTGTCATCTTCACCAACTGCACTCAATATGCTGCACGATGACCGAAACATTCGTCCTTGCTGACAACATCAATGTGCACGGATGTAGTAGACGACATTGCAGCTGTGAAGGTGAGGTTGTTGTTGTTTTAAGCTGTGATCACATGACCTGAGGTCAGCTAACCGGCTACAGTGTTGAGATTGCTTTCTCGAGACGTTTTGCAGAACAGGATTTCTTGGCTGTGTTTCGTAGGTAGGAGATGAAGCCATCTTTCTTCAGATCAATTGTGACAACCTGCAACAGTGAGTGAGTGCATGAGTGAGTGAATGTGAGTGAGTGAGAGAGAGAGAGAGAGAGTGAATGTGAATGAGTGAGGGCATTTGTTAGTTTGCATGTGAGAGTGAGGGTGTGCGTTTGTATGTGTGTGAGTGAGTGAGGACGTGCGTTAGTATGTGTGGGAGTGAGTGAATGTGAGTGGGTGAGTGAGTGAGTGAGTGTGCATTAGTGAGTGAGTGGGTGGGTGGGTGAGTGGGTGAGTGAGTGAAGGTGTGAGTGAGTGAAGGTGTGAGTGAGTGAATGTTTATGTGTGAGTGAGTTGAGTGGGTGAGTGAGTGAAGGTGTGAGTGAGTGAAGGTGAGTGAGTGAATGTGTGAGTGAGTGAATGTGTGAGTGAGTGAATGTGTGAGTGAGTGAGTGAAGGTGTGAGTGAGTGAAGGTGTGAGTGGGTGAGTGAGTGAGTGAAGGTGTGAGTGAGTGAAGGTGTGAGTCAGTGAGTGAGTGAGTGACGGTGTGAGTGAGTGAAGGTGTGAGTGAGTGAATGAGTGAGTGAGTGAAGGTGTGTATGCATGAATGATCGAGCGAGTGAGTGTGCGTTAGTATGTGTGTGAGTGAGGGTGTGCGTTAGTATGTGTGTAAGTGAGTGAATGAGTGTGCATTTGTGAGTGAGTTAGTGAGTGAGTGAGTGAAGGTGTGTATGCGTGAGTAAGTGAGTGAGTGAGTGAAGGTGTGAGTGAGTGAATGAGAGTGAGTGAGTGAGTGAAGGTGTGTATGCATGAGTGTGTGAGTGAGTGAGTGAGTGAAGGTGTGTATGCATGAATCAGTGATTGAGTGAGTAAGTGTGCATTAGTATGTGTGTGAGTGAAGGTGTGTATGAGTGAGTGAGTGAGTGAGTGAGTGAGTGAGTGAGTGAGTGGGACTAAAACCGCTTTTAACAGTACGGATGTACAGTACAGTTTTGACCATGCAAACAAGTGAATAAAACCATGTGCAACGATCAATGGAATCAGTCAGCTAAGTCACAGAGCCTGACCACCGGGCCTTACACTTTCGATCCTGTTGAAAGGGAAGCAACAGTAACTGATCCCTTACTTTCAACCCAGAGTCAGCCTCAGATGCCTCTTACAGCCAGCCATGGGGTGTTGGGGCCCATACACAGACCCCAGTATTCCAGCTCAGGTGAGGGTTACGGTGCTCACAGACCAGGTATCATAGTCAGTGCTAAACCGTGATCCCAGCTGATGACCTTTCTGGCAGTGAAGGGTCACAACCCTGCACACCAAATTATTGTGGCAAATTGGACCATATAGATTACCGGCCATCTGTGCCCCTTGGAAATAACATGGCTTTCCATATCAGGTATGTTAAGGAGAAATTAAAGCAACGATTATCAACATGTATAGGCCTGGATCTCTTAATCCCAGAAAACTGAGTCAACTTTGCCTGCCACAGAAACACTTTGTAAGTAAGATTTGCAAAGGTGAGTGAGTGAGTGAGTTGGGTTTAACGCCGCTTTTAACAGTATTCCAGTTATATCACGGCGTGTCAGCTTAATGTGGGAGGAAAGCCCGATGCAGGTCTAAGACGTTTACCACTTTGGTGAAACCCACAAGCACGGGTATGGTGCTGACAAACCTAGAAACATAATCGGGGCAAACCGGGATTCGAACCCACAATCATAGGTTTCTGGTGTGCCCAAGGGACGCAACTCTGCACAGCAAATCGCGGCGCCTTAGACGACTTGGCCACCCGTGGCCCCCGATTTGCAAAGGAAGCCAGAAACATATCAGGGATAGCTGAGGATATTCCAGTTAGTTAACTATCTGCCTACCTGTCCGCCCCTGGTCACTCCCAGAATGCCTTGTGTCTCATTGTTGAGAGCCGACGCGAAAATGATGTCCGTGGAGACTCGGGTGCAGCACAGACAGCTGGCTGTCTCCATGTCACACAGGTACAAGTAGCCGTACTTGGTGATCATAAACAGCAGCCCGTACTTGCTGGACACCTGCCACAGAAACACACAGGCTGGATTTGGTCAAGTGAAGATCTTTCAGGAAGTTACATCCCTGTAGAACTAGACACACTTACCTGTCATAGATTAGGGAATATGTTTACCTGTAACGAGATGTGGAAGTTAATATTTACCTGTAACGAGATGTGGAGGTTAGTATTTCCCTGTAACGAGATGGGGAAGTAATAGCTTTACCTGTAACGAGATGTGGAAGTTAATATTTACCTGTAATGAGATGGGGAAGTCATATCGGTCGTAATCGTCAAGGTACTGGACATGGTGGTACACGTTCCTCGGTGCAAAATTCCCCGTCTTGTATGGTCCCAGCTCTATCACATACACCTGTGTGGGAAGCAAGAATAAATATATCTGTCAGAATGTGTATATTACTGACCAATATCAATAGCATCAATATTATCCCACATGAAGCTCACCACCATCACCACAACCACCTCATCCATCATTCCACATCATCGTCATCTTCATCAGCAGCAGCAGCAGCAACCTCAAGCTCACCATCATTATCAGCAGCAACCTCAACATCATCATCATCATCATCATCATCATCATCATCATCATCAACTATACCTTGCCGTTATCCTGGACATCCCGGGATCCAACACACAGTGCTGTGGACGACGAGGGATTCTCGTCAAACTTGTATCTTGTGAAGCAGACCGTGTGAGCGTTGATACACTGCGTAATGTCCTCATCCACGTTGTACAGCTGTGTCACCCCTGTGATCTTCTCGTCCTGTCACAGAACAAACAAACTAGGTAACTGGACTGCATACGCCGGTGGAAGGTTTGTTTCTACCTGTAACCCAGGGACAGAGCACACCCAAAGAGTGACGTGTATTTACCTCTGGAATAAGTCCTGTAAGAGCCAGCCATTTCAGGCCAGGGTCGGCTTTGTAGCTGACGATCTCGCTAAACATCAGACGGGTGTGTCGGAGAAACATCTTCTCTGGTGGACTGTCAGCTGGAATATTACATTATTACAATATTACAACATTATTATTAACACTGCAACATATAGAATAGTCAAACCCAAATGTTGCCTAGAACAAAGATAATTTACAAGAGCTGAGGCAAGTTGACTTGAGTTGGATTCCCTTATTACTCTCTACGGTCTGGGAGCCAGGCTTGTAGCTACCCTGCCCACCTTGCCAGAGGTCCCAGTGGTACACTGCGGAGTCGGTTACCATGCCGATGACGTCCGAGTTGAGCCATGTCCAGTACATAATGGGTTCGTGCAGCCGTGTCTTGCTCATCATTACCTTCGTGTCAAGGTTAAACACTTCAAACCTCAGTCCCGCTGAAACAGACAAATAACAACATTGAACCACTTCCTGAGATATTTCTCATCAGATTCTGAAACCAATCAAACCAAACCAAAGTCACCAAGTCTGACAATCGATCCTGTTTACTTGGAGTCATAAACGCAAAAAATGCTGTCCACAAAATCAAAATTGAAAGTCCCTTGCCAAGAGCATGGAGAATCTGAAGCCACAACAGTGAACTACTCTGGACATACAATCCACAATTCCTTGAAGCTCTATGGTTGTTTTCTACCCATGATGTACATAGAGATTGCTAGAACGTGACCGACCAGCTTGTGAGTGCTTGCAGTACCTTTCAGTGCTATGATGGGCTGACTTGGGTTCATGAGGACGGAATCAGCACTTGTCTGTCCAGCGTACGAAATGGAGCCATCTTTAGGGTTCAGGACTGTCACCTGGTGGATATAAAACAACAAGTACTCAACATGAAACAACGGTCTCACAATGACAGCACTGCTTCACGTATATCTCACAATGACAGCACTGCTTCACGTATATCTCACAATGACAGCACTGCTTCACGTATATCTCACAATGACAGCACTGCTTCACGTATATCTCACAATGACAGCACTGCTTCACGTATATCTCACAATGACAGCACTGCTTCATGTATATCTCACATGCAAACTGTGCCGCTGTCACAGGTCAGCAAGTTTATACCCGGGACCTTAACAGTATTTACATGGGTTTGTTTGTTGTTTAACACCGCACTCAGCAATATTCCAGCTGTATGATTGCGGTCTGTAAATAATCAAGTCTGGACCAGACAATCCAGTGATTGACATCATGAACATCGATCTACGCTATTTGGATACGATGACATGCTTCAACCAAGTCAGCGAGTCTGACCACTCGATCCAATTAGTCGATTCATACGACAAGAATAGTCGCCTTTTACGGCAAGAATGGGTCACTGAAGAACTATTCTAACCCAGATCTTCATTGGTTTATTGCATGGGAGTTTGAGGGTGGCCACAGAGATAACCAATCATTGACAGTGCTTTATGATCAGTTTAGCGTAACCTTACAATCATTGACATAGCTTGATCATCTGTCCTGGGTAACCAATAAATCATTGACAGTGCTTGATCATCAGTTCAAGATAATCAATCAACCAATTAATCTTTGAAAATGCTTGATCATCTGCACAGGGTAATCAGTACATGATAATGGTTGAGTCGACTATATTTGTTCCATGGCACCACTGGACCAACTCACTCACTCACTCACTGGACCTACCATGGCTGGTTTGCTGATCTCCTCGCGGCTTCCGTGTCGGACGGAGATCCAGCGGTCCGAGGTCATGGTGACCCGGTTCCATGTCACCTGCTCAGGGGGGATCCCGATGTGTGCCAACTGAAATCACAACACAACCACATCAGCATGATCAGGGGGACATTCAACATACGCCACATCAACGTCATCACGCCACGCAATGTTGAGTTAAGATGACAACACCATCGTGTTGGGCTAACAAGGTCAGTAAATACTAAACATACTAAACAGCAGAGCTGGGACGAGAGACCATCTGTGCGATCCGAAAAGATACATTGCTCACGATACTTGCATGGGCTCATATTTGTACGCCATTTTTCTCATAGACAGGATGGCCAGGTGTTTAGCCCAACAATCTTGTCCGCCATACCGCAAAAATACATCGTGTCATGATTGGATACTGTCTAGCCAATCAAATTAACTGTTTAGCTTAGCTGAAACACTGGAAGGGAGGTAATGCTATACCACCTGTGTAGTTAATATTTGATATGTAGTCGAGTGTGCCAGGGTCAATAATCATGATAATAGGATATCAATAGTCTGAGCCACACCCCACGTTTTGAAAACCAAATGCAGCATGTCGGAAATGTAGTACAGTATGTTGTAGACAATCTACCGCCATTGATGAGTGGTCACTGATGAGCATGATGAGTGATCATTGATGTGTGATCATTGATGTGTGATCATTGATGTGATCATTGATGTGATCATTGATGAGTGATCATCATGATCATTGATGCCTGATCATTGATGCTTGATAATTGATGTGTGATCATTGATGTGTGATCATTGGTGTGTGATCATTGATGTGTGATCATTGATGTGTGATCATTGATGTGTGGTCATTGATGTGTGATCATTGATGTGATCATTGATGTGTGGTCATTGATGTGTGATCATTGATGTGTGATCATTGATGCTTGATAATTGATGCTTGATACTTGATGTGTAATCATTGATGTGTGATCATTGATGTGTGATCATTGATGTGTGGTCATTGATGTGTGATCATTGATGTGTGATCATTGATGTTGTTGGGAGAAAACAGTAAGACTGATCTGTGTAAGCCATGTTATTGTGGGAAGGTCAGCATGACCCAGTTGCCATTGTGAGCAGATGGAGAAAAGTGCCAATGAATGCCAAGGTGAAAATACAGAACAACTTCAGGTTATGTTGACATTAGACATGTTAGAAGCCAGTGGCTTGCTTGTCAGATTTACAGACAGGGAACAAGAAATGGCGGGACCGATGCCAAAGTTGGTTGGGAAAGGGAATAAGCTAATACATAAATAAATATATTTTTGGTGGTGGTGGTTGTGTATACAAGAAGGAGTTGGGGGAGGCTGGGGTGCATACAAAAAACTTAATTTTACAAAAACATACTAGAGGAAAATAAAACATTGTTCGCTGGACAAGTTCAGGATGTCCTGAAGGAATGAATGTGCTACATAAACTTGTTCTCCTCATCTTTCAGAGAAATGAAATTCTGCATCTTCATGATGCATCATGTTGAAGTTGCTGCAACGAGCAATAAATATTTTTTTATCCCCTAAAAAGTAAATGACTGGTCCAATATACATGTTTTAGAGTGAGCATGGTGAGAGGGTGACAACAAGGTGTAAAATACAAAAGGACCATGTAGATGGACACGCATTCACCAACACATATGTACAGCTTCATCACGTTCATCGCCATTACCATGATTACAAAGCAGACATTTTGAAACTAAGAAATGTACTGAAAATAAATATGATAATTCAACACTAGGAACAACACGACGGAGCTAATCATACTATATTTATGACGGTTCTAAACTGATACAACGTGAAAGCTCTAACAGCTAATGCATGCACAGCGTTTCTCTCGTAAAGTGGTACACGGAAACATCTCTTCTTTACGTACATACTTCTCTGTATGTTTCTATGGTTTGCTTTTCTTACGGCTGTGAGTATATTTACATGATATTATTCAAGGATTCAAGACACACGTCGAAACATAAAGCACTAAAATGAAGACAATTTTACCATGCTTACTATGCACTGTTATTGAACTGTTATCATCAAATAGCTGTCAGTGCAAGTTTTCTGTACTTGTTGAACAGCTGCTTCCAATCAATAACACGGATCTGATTAAGCAAAAAATATCAATGTTTTATTGTGTAAACAATTTCTCCAAGAACAGCTCCACAATTAAATTCTACTGTAGTCAACGAACCAAAACCAGCAACAACCAATCTCCACCTCACAGAGCTATTGAACCCTGTCCCATGGCCGACAGTCTCAGTGCATCACAATGCCAACATGTCGCCCTGGTAAACCAAGCATGTCATGGTACTTGGTGCATGTTCTGCAAAACATCCAGAAGCATAATGGAATTCAATTTATTGATTATCACGGCAGCTCTTGGAGTGCACAACGCAGGTCCCAGACATGGACCAATATGCCAGACTTTGCCAGAGGTTTTGTTTCATTGCTGTTTAATGTACACAATGGTAGACTGTGTCGGTCATCCAGATTGTCCTTTATGTCAAATAACTACATCTGTAGATATTGTGAGAAAACAACTAGTCCCATTAGTCTTCAATAGTCGGACTAGCGGACGAGCAGCCATGTATATCCCTGTGTACATGTTCACTAGAAAGGCTGCGTTAGAAATTGGCAATCGTCCTACAGTCCTTGCAGCGTTAGAAACTAACAGTTTTAGTCCTCTAGTCCTTATATATGCTATAGCAAAACCCTTAAACAGGGCAAATTTCTGCTAGTCCTTATGATACCTTAACTATTGGGCAGTTTGGCAAGGACTACAGGACTAGTGCCAATTTCCATGATTTTTCCAATGCTGCCTTGCCATTTTAAGGGGTTTTGCTAAAAATGTTAGTTACTATCGCTGGAAGGCGTGTGCTGGCTATAGCAACTGGACAAACAAAACTGCTGACCTTGAACAAATCATTGCTGACTTTCTTCAAACATATTGATTGAACTGATGCATGGTGGTTGTTTCAATGGCAACATTCTTGACATTCAACATGTTCAAGGAAAAATATTGGCATTCCTTTTCAGCCATCAGGATGCACTGCAACAGTGCTGACTGCATCAAACACATTCCAATCGGCTTAACATGTCACTGTCACACCCTTCCTTGCATGTTTTGTTTACACACTAGCCAGCAGTAGACAGAACATGGTGGCCTGGAAACAACCTCATTAAAATCAGATCTTCGTTATCTATCGCTAAACAAAGATCTGAGGACATCCCATTAAGGGTCACGTCAGAACGACCTATCATCCAACCAATCAGAGCATCGCTTACCAGATCATGAAAGTGACTGTCAGAATGTGTTTTCTAATCATGCAACCACAAAATATTTAACACGGGGTATTCCGAACGACAGTCAAGGATTTTATGATTATATCTATACAATATAGGCCATCTATAAGCCATTCCAGAATGTTCTTCTTTTTAATCGAGAATACGTCAATATATGTTTCGAAGCGTAGTCGCAAGTTTGAAACTAGTGTCGTAGAGCTCAAGAATCCTGCCTTATGATTGGCTAATGTCACTTTCTTGTCAGTCATTTCATTGGTCGGTCAGAATTCGCGAAAAAGTTGTTCTGACATGACCCGTAATGGGATGTCCTCAGATCTTTGTTTAGCGGTAGCGAAAACTAAGATCTGATTTTAATGAGACTGGCCTGTAAACAATCAACTATCCTGCCTTACACATTCAGAGAGAGACCACCCTTGTGACCACCCAATACCCAGTACAGTTAGCTCCTTTAACACTGTACAGAACATGGCATTGTGACGGACGCTGGACCTGTACATCTCATGTTTGAAAGTAATGATCAGAAAATTAAATAAAACTAAATTTGTTTTAATTTTACCAACCATGTATGACAAGCTATGATGGATTACAAACAATAACAAATTAAACCTGATGAACTACCCAAAAACATTCCACATGTGTAAAATGATAAGTTATTTAATAAGTATATAGTCTAATATGATATATATATAGCCCTTGCAACATGTGCACTGTATCGTTCACAAAAGCACTTACGTGCCCTATTACTGGAGAAAATAGTTAACAAGAAATATAGACTGTATTTTAAACAGCATTTGCATTTTCCCTGATAAATGAACAAACCCATACATCGATCTGATCTTTATGCTGAAAATAATTAAAATTAAATAAACACAAATAAATTTATATTTCAACATGTCAAAAACAATACTTGGAAAGCAAAAACACGACCATAAAACATCCGAAGTATGCCCTTAAGTACACAGGTCTTTAGTCTTTAAAACTGCTGTCTGTGACCACCCCCCCCCCCCCCAGGTCAAGGAGCTGACTCCTTAATGCCAAAAACAGAATTTCCATCTATCACCAGTTGCCATGGCAACTGCCATTAACCACTTACCACATCAGCTTAAGTATAAAAGTTAGGAGTATGTAGTGATTCTGAAGATAAGAGTGCTGCCTGTGCCAACTGCCAGGTATACCTCCACTACAGCCAGTGTTATGCATCTACCAGGCAGGAGGGCTAGGTGTGTGCCGGGTCTGCTGGGTCTGGGATCACTACCATCAGGTGAACAGGTTGGGGTTATTGAATTAGGCCTCTCTTATCCCTGTTTAACACTGGCAATCAAACTTGAGCACTTGGGAATGCATAAGACTACACATGGTTTAGTTTATAAATCCACAGAACTGAGCTACAAAAAATCTCCAAATAATTAACTGATGTCTAAAGCTATTTCATAATATGGTGAGACAACATAGACACACTAAACTTGAATGCATTGTTAAACCCAATTCTACCTCACTTATGCTTATTAACAAGTGGAGTGGAGAGGAGTGGAGTGGAGTGGAGTGGAGTGGAGTGGAGTGGAGTGGAGTGGAGTGGAGTGGTGTGGTGTGGTGTGGTGTGGTGTGGTGTGGTGTGGTGTGGTGTGGTGTGGTGTGGTGTGGTGTGGTGTGGAGTGGAGTGGCGCGGAGCGGAGCGGACAGGAGTGGAGTGGAGTGGAGTGGTGTGGAGTGGAGTGGAGTGGAGAGAAGTGGAGTGGAGTGGACAGGAGTGGAGTG